ATTCATACCAACGATGAAAGGATGGTTCTAAACTGGAAAAAAAAAAAAAAATCAATGATCATATTGATTGATGCAGAAAGGCATCTGACAAAATGGAACATCCATTCTTGACAAAAACACTCAACTAAGTAGGAATAGAAGGGAAATTCCTCAATTTAATTAAGGCATGTATAGAAATCCAGCAGTAAACATTAGTTTCAATGGAGCAAAACTGAATGTATTCCCATTGCAAAGAGGAACCAGACAAGGATGACCTTTTTCAAACACTCATTTTCAATATTGTGTTGGAAGTTTTATTAAGAGCTATAATGCAGAGGGTGGGGTTTGATGACAGATAGGATAGAGGTGCAGTGACGATCTCCATCAGCAATAACAGAATACAAGGTGAAGCAGGTTCAGGGGAGAGCTCCAAAACTCTGAAACACATATGTAGGAATATTTTTAAAGTTTACAGGCTTATAGCTAATGGAACTTGTAGTGGAAGCAAGAAATCTCGAACTTTTGAATATGCTGAGCTCAGCAGCCTGAAGCCAACAACTTGGGTGAGACAAAATGGCAAGACCAAGTGTGGGAGCAAGCAGACCTGCCACAGACTAATGCCTAGGGGAACCTTGGAGACAAAGGTGGACAATATTCTTTGTTTGGTTTGGTTTGGTTCTGATTTTTTTTGGTATCTGTTCATTGGCCTCTTGCTGTCTATGCACCTCCATTCTGGTGACTAGAGGGGGTGCCTGAGTGAGTGGACACCCCCACCCCCATCACCTCTCAGCATTTAAAGGGCCAGTCTCTGCACCAACCAGCAGCACAAAATGGCCACAGCCACCCCTGAAGTTTTTATTAACAGGGAAAAGGCTAGAACAGGGGTCATTTAAAGGCCTAGTTCCTGCTTAACACCAACCAGCAGCACAAAAGGCCACAGCCAGACCTGAATTATTTATTAATAGGGAAAAGGCCAGAACAGGGCTTGTGGAGTGGGAGAGCCTAAAAACAAAACAGGCTGAAGATTAAATCCTGAGGTACAGCATAACAACCAACAGTGGCATCTTGAAATTTATCAGGCAGCCTTGAAGGCAAGAAGCTGAAAAAGCATATTAAAGTCATACTCATATTAGGCTACAGTTTGTTTGTTTGTTTTTCTTCTCTCTCTCCTCTCTCTTTTCTGCAATTATAGACCACAGTATCCAATCTGTTTTTGTTTGTTTGTTTTGCTCTTGCTGTTTTGGTTTTTGTGGTTCCCCCTTTTACCTATAGGGGGCTCTTTCTCTCCCTATAATACACAAGAATATACAGCAATTGCTGCAATATAGTCAAGCTATAATCTTACTCTATAAAACACCACAAACCAGGCAAGAACCAATACTAACTGCTATACGCCAGGGAGTCAGACAACACCTGTGAAAGTTACTCTGAATTAAACAATTAGAAAAGGGAAAAGGGAAGCCCACCTCCTGATCACATCTAAAGCATAAAGCATAAGAAATACCAAAACAAACAAATAAATTAAGTATTAAAGCCACAGCTAACCACTGAACATATCCAAGAAGCAAAAATAGATGAATATATCAGCACATGTCCAGAAACAAAATAAAATGTCTGAGACAAATGACCTAGAGGTAAATATAGCTTCTATTCTGGAAGGAGGTCAGCCCTTGGAAATTCCTGAGAAGAAATTCAGAAAAAAATGATTATAACATGTTTCAAAACACTTTACAATGGAGTTGAGAAAAATAAGGAAGAAGTCAGGAAAGTGCTACAGGAACAATCAAATAAGACAGATACAGCATTGGAAACAATTCAAAACCTACAGCAATAAGTCCAAACAATTAATAATAGAATATCAGAAATAGACAATATACTGAAAGGGCAAAGGAATAGAATTAAAGAGATGGAAGTCAGAACAAGTGAACTGGAAGACAAAGCTTTCAAAAATAAGATAGAAGAACAACCAGAAAAAGGATTTAAAAAATCTGAAAAATGTCTAAGATTATTGGCATTCTGTAACAGGAAGAATCACACAAGTCCACAGAGGATATAGTTGAAGAGCTGCTGGTAGTAAATTTCTCCAACATCACGAAAAGTGAAAAAGTAAGCATTCAAAAAGCTCAACGAACCACAGGAAGGATAGACCCCAAAAGAAAATCACTAAGACCTAATAATCAAGTATCCAAAATCAAAGATAAGAAGACAATCCTGAAAGCAGCTAGAGTAAAGGGAAGTGTTACATACAAAGGCAAGCAAGTCAGATTAAGCTCTGATCTGTCAGCAGATACCATGTAGGCAAGAATGCAACGGGGAGACATATATAAAACCCTGAAAGAAAAAAAAACCAAGAATCCTTTATCAAGCAGAGCTATCAATCAAATACAACCGTGTAATCAAAACATTCCAGGATAAACAGAAGCGAAGGGATTTTGCCAAAGCCAACCCTGCACTGCATAACATCCTAAAGGGAGTTCTGTGGACTGAGACGCAACAAGACCAGACAACAACCAAAGATTGGCATACATGGCAGCACCTCCCGGAACTCAATCAATAAATGGAAGAGTCGAGAACAGAACAAAACTATAAGAACAAATTCAGAGGATCTGAGAGGTAAGTCTATGATCAAAACAATTGTAATGTGAAAGAAAGTAAACACATAGGAACAGAGGCCCCGGTGGTGAGAAGGTCAGGTAGATTACAGGATAAAATAGACTATATTAAATGGAGGAAAAAGTGAATGGGATATAAGGTAACCTCAAAGAAAATTAACACTCCACAATATACCAAGAAAATGAAAATCAAAGAAAAACATGAAACATTAAAACTATGAGGAAACTGACAAGAAAGAACACAAAAACCATGAATTCAACAAAGGAAGACATGTAGAACAAAGAAAGCAGCAGCACCACAAAAAAACAAACATAATGGCAGCAATTAATCCATTGTTGTTGTTGTTAGGTGCCACTGAGTCAGAACCGACTCATAGTGACC